CATAATTTCTGATATACCTTGTATATGATTGGGAAATTTTGATAGATGAAGATTGCATTTTAGATTTTAGACCATGCAGAACTTTTTATGAAGAATAACTTTTTTTCATAAAACCAATAATAAAAAAGTTTTCCATATGGTTCCAACTTAAGTAGACACACTGTATATATANACCTTGTATATGATTGGGAAATTTTGATAGATGAAGATTGCATTTTAGATTTTAGACCATGCAGAACTTTTTATGAAGAATAACTTTTTTTCATAAAACCAATAATAAAAAAGTTTTCCATATGGTTCCAACTTAAGTAGACACACTGTACATATATCTTTTCAAGAGTTGATTTTAGGCGAAAATGGAAAAGGAAAGAAATGTTTATAATTAAATTTTTTACAAAATATGACTAGTTACAAATCGAATGAATCATGATTATTATAGTAAAAATCGAAAAATCGCCAAAAATGGGGTTAAAAACATTATTTCTTAGGGAATTATTTTGGGGTCTTTAAATTGATTAAAGGACCTTCATACTTGGCTCAAGAAAGCTTCATGTTATGTAGAATCATCACACCAAATTTCATCAAAATCGGTTTGATAGATTTTGCATAATAATTATGCAATCCAATTTTGCACAGCAAAACCAAGGCCCTTAGATACTTGAAAATTTAATCACTTCGAATAGTGTAATATTCAATAGCAATGAAGATTGTCATTTTTTAAGACAAAATGTTAGATACATTGTGATTAATAATTATCGATGTTTAGCTAATTATTTTGGAAGGAATTATGAATTATTATTTGTTATTGAAACAAAGTGATAATACTACATGTTATGAAAAATTCTCATTTATATTAACTAAAAAATAACGTATTATATTTTTAAGAACATTTCAATCTGTGAAGGATTAAGAAAAAATGTTTTTTGCTGTCCCATTTGAGGTATTTCTATGTGACATATAGAACTGTTAAAACCGTGATAAAATGTTACACATTTTTTTAGTCTCTTCAGCTTATTATAAATAAAAATTTCATAAAAGATAACGTATTATATTTTTATGAAATTTTAATTTTTAAAGGTTTCTTAAGCAACATTTGTTGCTCTCCCATTTGAGGTATGTCGATGTATAAAAATAAAACATAAATGATTATTCGTAATTTAAATTACACTTTTTCTTTAGTGTTTTCATCGTATCAAACAGTATTTAAAATATTGAAATTGATAATATATAATAAGTACCTTTACGTTTCATACTTAACATGTTATCATAAATTATATTTTAGTATTAGGGCACTTAAAGTCTGTAACGTCGAAACCACAAATATAACAATGTGATTGACCTTTAGTATGATTATGTATTATATCTAGATGGGCTAGTGGTTTATCTTTGTGCAACTTATAATATTTTATTGACGTATTTAACCAATCTTCATATAAATTAGTTTCTTCTAATAAATGTTTTTTACACTTTAAATAAAAATATAAAAAAAATAAAACTGGTAATAAATTTAATGGACTCCATAATAAAAATATGAGCTGCAAGAAGTAAAATCAGTACCATAAAACGCGTCTTCTACGGTCTGTATATAGGTCTGGTATGACACGAACATATCCGACTTAGATATATAGAAGTTTTTACAATATTCTGTCTTGAAAACTGTGCTCCGATGTTGAAGATAATAATTTAAATCTTGGCAATACTTTGCAACGATCTATAACAAAATACGTAATTAAATGCATTTCACATATTTGAACACTTGAATCACCTTTTTCTTCTTCTGTGAAGTTAATCATTTTACTTTTCGGTTAGTTAGTAGTTGGACATTTATATAGCAATTTCCACTGTAATTAAATAATATAATATGATCACTAAATAGAAAGGCGTTTCATAGTTAATTAATATCTCTGTAAATAGATATAGCAATTAACCTCATTTGAGTTGAATATGCATTTCTGTGGTGGGATATTACTGTAAACGTGATGTAATAATGAAGGTGTTTCCACGCACCTTTCTCTTATTTTCCCATATAAAAGTAAATGTCGGGAGTAGCATTGTCATGCTGTATTAGTTTCTGCAAAACAACGCTAGTTCTATACAAATCGCACTAGTAAGTATAACCTTTTTATCTCAAATCTAGTTTCTAAAAATTTTTATTTGTTCATAGAGATGGATTTAAACGAAATTAATGAAAAGTCGCTTTTAGCTTTTAAACCAACGAAGCCGCTAAAAGAATTAGAAATTGGACGAAAATATCCAGTATGGAAAATTAAAAAGGTGTCTACAAAGTATGGAGACAATTTAGTGGCCGAGTTGCATGAATGCCAGGTCCCACTAAGCATGATTAAGTTTCTTTAATGTTACAGAAACATTTCTGTAAGAGCTGCAATGTTGCTTTCAGATTTATAATTAACTGTATGAAATGTCCCAGGGACCTTAATTCTGCAGGCTAGCAACATTGCAGAACAAGGTTCGTAAGGGAAAACTTTACAAGCAACTTGAATTTTAATTATTATTAATATTGCAATTACGTTATCTAGCAAAATGTTTTCAACATTACTAAATGTACAATGACATCAATGTATGTGCAACGTTTCTACATTATTTCATATAAGTTGCAATATTATGTTTTTTATAACATTCTAGACACTACATTTGTAACATTGTTAGCACTTTCTATAAAAAGTTGCCTAATAATTTATAGAAATTTCTATACAAAACATTGTAGTGGGGCGAAAGAGCAATGTTATTAATAAAAATCGATCTTATTTGTTCATGTAATGTTGCAGTAATGTTATAGAGGATATTTCATGAAATATCTAATAAATATTTTTTTGAAATATTAAATATATAGGGGCTGTTTTCTTTTACTCATGATTTCGGAATCATAACGCGTTACGATCCGAAATCTAGCAATCTGATTGGTTTTCAGTGGATCGTAACACGTTATGATTCCGAAATCATGAGTAAAAGAAAAGGGCTAGGTTGTCCCAAAAATAAGTGCTACGATTTAACCACCTATTTAACTCATCAAAAGCAACAATGTTGGTAAAATATTTTGTTTCTTAAATCAAAAAGCTTAGTTGACTTGATAATAAATTAAAAGAATCATAAAAAATAGGAACTAATTCTATAATCATTCACATATGGTAAAACTCTATTTTAATGGGTACTACTAAATACAGAATATGTTAAAAAAAATTTAGACAAAAGTTGGCGCTTTTAACAAATACGTAATTAAAATGTTGAAACTTATTTCTGGGCATCTCTGCATAGCTTCTGGAGTTCTATCAAACCAAATAAATTCTTCAACAGGTATGACGCTTTCGATAATTTCAAAAGTATACATAATGAGTTATTTTAAATCCAACATATACTGGGTATGTCTTAAGATTCCCAATGTTCATTTCTTAGAAACTAATACATATTTCAAATCGGCACTAACAATAAGTGTAGGACAATAAAGGGTTCACTGATATGGACATTGTTTTGTTACAGTAGGATTAGAAAAATATTTTAAATATTTTAGTTCGATAGAATTCTAAAAAATTTCATTTTACTCACTATTCACTAGATACTCACAATGTAATATTCTATAGGTTTAAGGTTTTCACTGTTAATGGAAAAAATCAGGTAAACTGCTAGAATCAAAATGGAATTATTCATTTCAATAAAAAAATTTAAATTCAATTATATTACGCATACATATTTCACAAAACATTGGCCTGCACTATTTCAACCTCGACAAGGTTGACAAGGTTAGGTGACTTCACTTCCAAATAAAACAAACTTTTATATAGATATTTTTTATTACATGTTATATACAAGAGTGTAACGAACACATTTTTCAAATTTTGGAATTGTTAGTAGGGAATGTGTTCCGTTTGCTGTAAAACTNAATAATTTATAGAAATTTCTATACAAAACATTGTAGTGGGGCGAAAGAGCAATGTTATTAATAAAAATCGATCTTATTTGTTCATGTAATGTTGCAGTAATGTTATAGAGGATATTTCATGAAATATCTAATAAATATTTTTTTGAAATATTAAATATATAGGGGCTGTTTTCTTTTACTCATGATTTCGGAATCATAACGCGTTACGATCCGAAATCTAGCAATCTGATTGGTTTTCATTGGATCGTAACACGTTATGATTCCGAAATCATGAGTAAAAGAAAAGGGCTAGGTTGTCCCAAAAATAAGTGCTACGATTTAACCACCTATTTAACTCATCAAAAGCAACAATGTTGGTAAAATATTTTGTTTCTTAAATCAAAAAGCTTAGTTGACTTGATAATAAATTAAAAGAATCATAAAAAATAGGAACTAATTCTATAATCATTCACATATGGTAAAACTCTATTTTAATGGGTACTACTAAATACAGAATATGTTAAAAAAAATTTAGACAAAAGTTGGCGCTTTTAACAAATACGTAATTAAAATGTTGAAACTTATTTCTGGGCATCTCTGCATAGCTTCTGGAGTTCTATCAAACCAAATAAATTCTTCAACAGGTATGACGCTTTCGATAATTTCAAAAGTATACATAATGAGTTATTTTAAATCCAACATATACTGGGTATGTCTTAAGATTCCCAATGTTCATTTCTTAGAAACTAATACATATTTCAAATCGGCACTAACAATAAGTGTAGGACAATAAAGGGTTCACTGATATGGACATTGTTTTGTTACAGTAGGATTAGAAAAATATTTTAAATATTTTAGTTCGATAGAATTCTAAAAAATTTCATTTTACTCACTATTCACTAGATACTCACAATGTAATATTCTATAGGTTTAAGGTTTTCACTGTTAATGGAAAAAATCAGGTAAACTGCTAGAATCAAAATGGAATTATTCATTTCAATAAAAAAATTTAAATTCAATTATATTACGCATACATATTTCACAAAACATTGGCCTGCACTATTTCAACCTCGACAAGGTTGACAAGGTTAGGTGACTTCACTTCCAAATAAAACAAACTTTTATATAGATATTTTTTATTACATGTTATATACAAGAGTGTAACGAACACATTTTTCAAATTTTGGAATTGTTAGTAGGGAATGTGTTCCGTTTGCTGTAAAACTAGTATACTAAAAATTAGTTGATTTGGTGTTCTACAGATTGTTTTATAAGCAAAGTTGTAAAAATCACCAGTAATAATTTTTAAAAGCAATTGTATGCCACCATACATTATATTTTGAATGATTCACTGAAAACTGTATATAATTTTTTTTCCTAGTTATGAGTTCTTTGAATTCATATATGCAAAAATAACTTCTATACACTTTTCACTGAATGGTTTGAGATAAAATATTAAATTTTAATGGTATAAAATATTTTTATATTATTGAAATTCAATATGAAAATGTATAAAACCTGCATACAAAATATTCTATATTAAAAAATAAACTTCAATTAGTGGTAACTTACGACTTCGCTTATAAAGCACCCTGTACTGCACCTAACCAACTCATTTTTAGTGTAGTCTGTTCTTGGACACTGTATTTCTATTGATGCCTTAAATATCTCGTCTTTCCATGCTGGAACCATTGCATCACTGCTTTTTCATAATTCTCGTCCGTCATTAAAGGGAAGGACACTCTTACTGCAGCTAGAAATGAAAAATTATTGCTGTATTAAATATTTACGTAAAAGTAGGAACATTTTTAGTGTTACTTATTACTATGAACAGATTCTGCACTGCTCATTTAAACATAATTAGTTTTTTTTCTATTTCTGCATTATACTGTGAAAAAATTTGAAAAAATATATTCAACCAATTCTTGCATCAAAAATGTCAATGAAAATTTGCCTTTATGAAACAATTTTTTCTTAATAAAAAATCTTACCGAAAGAAGCAGATATGCACTTAATTTTTAGATAGTTTACTTTTTCATTATCAATTCCTAAATTTAATATCTGATAATTGCCTTTCTAGACATTCCTAAGGTGACGGCTTTTAATAACCAAAATATGTTTTCTATTCAGTTACACTAATAATAAGTATAAGCAAGTTAACATATAGGATCATATGGATAGATATTGGAAAATAAAAACAAATACAGTATATCCATATTTACACGTTATACAGTGCATTAGAAAAGTAACGAATAAATTCAATATTTCTTAAGACTGAACACCGAATTCCATTTTATTATGATGTAATATACACCAAGTTAGGTGTTGGTATGGATATGACATCAGCGATAATTTTTTTAAAATATCAACAATATATCTTTTCGGTGGATTCTTGTAGATATGTTATTTCTGAGTTCGATAATATAGCACACTTTATAATTAAATATATTGTTGCGATTTAAAAAAATTATCGAGAATGAGAATTTATATGATACTTTTCTAACACACTGTATATAAAAAGCCATAGATATTCTAAAATGTAACAAAAGGAAAATAACTTACATTTTACAACCTCCATAATCTTTAGACCGCTCAATTTGAAGTTCTGTTTTTGTCCTGTCCACGAACAGAATTGTGCTACGAAATTTGTGAATATTTTCTCTAAATTTCTAAAAATGTAGTTTCTTTCAGAAATTCCACCCGTGCATTTTAAATACTGGAACTAGAGAAAAAAAAGTAAAGAGCAAATTAAAGAAAACACATTATAATTTACAATCGTGCCAATGCTTTCTTGCATTCTGGTATTTCCAAATTATTTTCCAATTCTTGGATTTCACCTATATTATTTAGTGGCATCTTTGGTAACAACTCATTGTTTATTTCCTCGGCAATAGCTATTGCTCCTAATTTTTCATCAATTGAAAAAATTGTTGCCTTTAATATTTCCAGAGTTGCTTGCATATTAACAAGCATGTTTAAAATTTTATCATCATTGGCTGAAATATAAATACAGGGTGTTAGGGAAATGACTCGTAATTTTACTAACGCAAAATTTCATTTCGATATCGTCCATTCATAAAGCATATTTTTTTTTGAAAACTAATAAAAAGATCCAAGGGCAAATGTTACACATACCTTGTCTATAATTATCCTCAAAAATAACTTCGGCATGTTCAATAAGAGAATTTGGTGTAGAAGATTCAGTATTTGTAACTATTGCAGTTACAGGAACTACATGTTCAATACATTTTGTATTCACTGCCATGGGGACAATAGTTTCATTTGCTTCGTCAGATGAACTATTTTTATCATAACTTTTTTCTAGTGGAGACTCACTGTCTACAAAGAATTTAATTAGTAACGATCTTAAATAACATGAAATTATGCACCGATAGCCACACATAATCAAAATTTACCTGATCCACCAGTCAAAAGAGGAGGAGGTGTAACTGAAGTGTCTCTATCTAAGTATTTCTGATTGACTTTTTTCTTCCGTTTACCCTTTCCCTTCTCAACATCACTACTACTTGAATAGTCATTTTCTTTTTTCTTCTCATAGTATACAGCTTCCTTATAAGTACCTGCCTCAAAAAAATACGTATGAGATTTTCAATAAACACTTAATCATGAATATTCTAATATATTTGTATAGAAGTTGAAAGAAATAAGAAATGTCACATTTTCTCAATTATTTCTGAGTATGTTTGATGGAAGTTTAACAAAACTTGAACCAATGATTTATCTAATTAGAAGTAAAAATTCACTTATTAGCATATGAATATGTTTATTAGTGACCAAGTCAGTACATTAGGAAGAATTTCAATGAAGCGTATTTTCAAAATTTGATCAGTGATTAATTATAATTAAGATAATAATAATTATCTTTCCATTTCATGGAATTTCTAAGAAATAATTCTAAGAAAAAAAAATATACGACTAGGAATTAAGAGTGCTAATTAAATTTTTTCCAAACTACTCAATGGTGTTGAAATTATGAGATTCCTAGTGGTACCTACTGACCCCTTGTATCTGTGCTTCTGGTAAACATATTTGCTCATTGAATCATTGATGCAAGTTTCATCAGCCTAGGCCCAATAGATATTACTTACAATACTCTCCTAAAATTTTTACTTTTGTTAACGTGTACCAGTCAGACTCGGGTAACATTTCTCTAATTATTGCTTGTTTTTCTCTTCCTTTATCCTTTGGCCATTTGCATTCATCGTTTCCACCTAACCATATTTTTGGCACAGTAGATACATAAGTTAAGCCATCCATAACAAATTCGATTAAGACGAATTTCTTTAAAAACACATACTTTTTAGACACAAATTAAATCCACAATGCATTCAAATTATTTTTAACATTTTATTTAATTAAATTACCTGCTGCTTAGCTAATTCTTTCTTCAAAATTATTTTCTTAGTGAACTGAATAAGCATTTGAAAATAGTTTAGGGTATAAAAGATTTTAAAATTGACAATTGGACAAAAAAATCCTGCTTTATATAACGCTTCGACTTTAAAGAATTAATATTGAGAAAAAAAGTACGGTAGAGTTCCGTAAGATGACAAGCACATGCCAAGCGAATGAATATAAGGCAGAGATAAAAAAAATTGCAAAATAGCAAAATCAAATTAACGATAACATATTTTTTTTGTGTTTTATACATTTACTATGAATATCATCTACAGATATTATTTCAGATATGTCCGATATGTCATCAACTGTGCCACAACCCATTATTTTCGATGAACAAGGGGTTGTAAAACACTTTTTGAACTTCATATATCTTTTACCAATTATAAATATTTTATTAGTTTTAATAATTTTTTCAATTTTAAAAATATCATTGCCTTTAGTTATGCAATGATTATTATTTTTAGTTGACGCAAGATAAGAACTCTTGAACTTAAATTGTTTATATTCAGTTACAAACTCATTTCCTAGCAAGGGTTCTGGGTAATAATTTATATTTTTCTCCAAAAGTGATTCATTATGTACATTAATAAGTCCATATCTGTACTTCCGATGTTCAAGAACTCTATTGATGTATTGCTCTAATGGTTTATTTGATGTTCTTAATATTTTTTTTATATGTCCAAGCTCATTTTCAAATTTAAATGCCGAAAAAGAATCTAATGGACCAAATTTCAGTACATCACGATGTAGATGTATCAAACAGTGTACATTGTGTGAAATATATTCTACTCCATATAAAGTTTCATATTTTTGTACAAAGTACAGCAATAAATGATGTGCAAATTCATTATACTGATAACACAATTCTGGCGTTGCTAAAATTCGAATAGCGCAATGAAGAGACATGAAATGTGTATATTGAGAAGGTTTTAATCTATTTTTTAAAATTATTGGACCACTATAAATTAAGAGTTGTCGAAATTCTGTAGCTTTCCATTTTTCAAAATCTGAGAATTTTCTAGGTAATCTTGAAAAGTCCCTATAACTCAAGCATTTTCGGAATTCATTTAAAGATGACTCAATTTGATTTTGATCGTTTTGATTTAAACGAACAGAACAATTTCCCTTTACCCAAAAAATCATTAAACGTTTCATTACTCCAAGGCACACCAAATGCATGTAATCGAGTGGAAATTGTTCAATCAAATCAATGGATAACTTCTTTAGAGGCGTTTCAGAAATATGATAATCATCATAATGATTGTTCCTAAATGCATTATCAGTTCTTAATATACACTGTAGATCACGAAAGCTCATACGATTATTTATAAAATCACCTTCTACGGTACACTTCATACACCCAAAATATGAATTATGCCCTTTAATTCCAAGGACAAAAGATTTTGCTGGTGCATCACAAATAATTCTTGATATTGTAATTTTTACTTTTTTCCCACAGTATGTAAAATTATTTTCCAAAGTTAAAATCTCCTCAACAAATTCATTTAATATTTCTTTTGCATTATGTGGCTTTTTAAAACCATGATATACCCCAATCACAAATGGGGGGTTACTAATTACATTAACAATACTCCCTAAAACTGGCCAGAACTGACTGTTAGATGATTTAGTTAAAGGCAAGCCATCTATGTTTACATCTAATTCTAGATGGTCAATATTTTTTTCAAATAAATTGATGTTTGTTTTTAAAGAATACCGAATACCTTCTTCCAAGCCAAAGTGAAAATAAAATCCAGTATTAGTTTTTATAATATCATGTTTCTTTTCAGTTTTTAATAAAGTTCTACAATCTGCTGGCAAGTTAAGAAATTCATAACTGTTATGTGGTTTTTTTAAAACAGCGAGTAATTTATTAAAACTTGTCAGTGAAATTTTGCACTCTAGTGCCCAATTACTTAATTCTCTACAAAGCTGATTTTCTGTAGATCTATTAGAATAATTATTGTTATGAGATAATTCTTTTATATCTGTCAGTATATGTTGATCTGTTTGATGTGGATGGATAACTATTGGCTGAGAATTAGATATATTTTTGGATAATTTATTTTCAGGATTAATATTTTCCTCAGTTTCAGATAATGGACATATTTCATTTTTAATTTTTTCTTTTTCTTTAATTAACTGCTGGATATACCGTTTATTCATAAATCCTCTATTTTTTGTCCGGCGTTGACTTATCTACAATATAAGAAATTTAATATAGTACTCGACACCAATAAATCATATAAAATTTATTTTATTCTAAAATTAATATTGTACAATTATAATAGCATTGCTAGTAATAAAACCTTAGTATCGTGAGTTACCGCTCCTGAAACAGGCGGCCCGGGAAATAGTTTAAATAACTTAAAGATGGTTAAATCATGTAATCTTGATCACTTACCTAATTTTTTTAGCTTAACAATAGGCAATAAAAAACTACAAAATTTATACCAGGGTAATGAGAAAAAAGGTAGAGCGGGAGTAAAGTTCTAAATGTTTTTCTACGTGGATTTTTCGTTTTTGAGTAGAAAATATGAAAACGATGTGTTTTACATACAAAAAGTCCTCTTAGTGAATATCGATAAGATACACTATTCTCGAGTAACATCGATTTGAAAATTTCATAACATGTTCTAAAATGCAACTCCCGTTATATAGGTATAACAGAATAGCGTGCCTCGGAAAAAGCGCAATTTTGTGACATAATAGGAATGCCAAGTATTGTTAAGCTTCTAAATAGATTTTAATTGAGTTGAAACATGGCACACTTTAAAAACTTTATTCTTCTATCTAACGGCAGTTACCTTTTAGAGCATATTATGAAATTTTCAAATTGATGTTACTTGGGAACAGTGCATCTTATCGATATTCAATAAGAGGACCTTTTCTATATAAAAAGCATCATCAAGTTTTCATATTTTCTATTCTGAAACTAGAAAAATCCAGGTATAAAAATATTAGAGTGGGTTTTACTCCCGGCCAACCTATTTTCTCACACCCCATGTGAAGCGTTTTCTATTATATTTTCCGAGCGCTCCATGTTTAAGAAAAAACTATACGTTTAAGAAAAAATTATTCTAAGGTTTTCATCATCTTTTAACTTGTTCTACATGCACTGAAATTTTGAATACTCATTTTAGAAATACCTTGTACTATATAAGATACTATTAATGCCTCCACTGCTCTGACAATTATATAAAAAAAATCCTTATTTTTTTTTCTAACTTCAACACCTTGTATCTGTTATAGCTTGTGTTATAGAAGCCCAAAATAAAAAAACTAATAGCATTTTCGACTCATTGCACTTTCATGCACTCAACTGCACTTAGTGCAAATATTATTTTCACCTGCGGTATTGGGTGCGGTATTTATTCAGTGTTCAATACCTGGTAGTTGGCCAGTAAAAAAAGTTGAGTTTGACTGATATTGCTCAAAAAAATGGAAAAATATAAACTGGTGTCGTTTGCCAAAGAACTAGTTCGATACCTGTGCACACCAAGTTACGAGCCGAAAAAGCTGTAATTATACATTAAGTTCTACTGACCTCGAATGACTTGTAAGAAGTCAACTATTTCGCTTCATTACAAGTCAAAAAAGTAATTTTTATTAGGTAAATCAAAAGACAACCTGTTTGTACAACTAATGAAAATATATAGGTATATTTTACTAAAACTAATTCACATACTGGCACCACATAAAAAAAGAGGCTCTTAAAAAAGCATTAGGTACCTACCTAAGAATAACGAGGTTCTAAAAACGGTATACTATCTAATCCTAATTTCAACATTATCTAGTGGTTGTCTATAGTAAATATATAATTTAATTAGTTATTAGTGGTCAAAACTTCTTGTCCTGATTAATGCCGATTAGTCAATGGAACGATCAGTGTGAATAATTTGTATAAAATAAAACAAGACATGCACAAGCTATTCAACAGATTTATTAATCTGCCTTAACCGGGACCAAAAGTACTGGCCCTAGGTAAACATGAATTATAATTTAACGACATTATGTTAAAATGACTTATTTATTTACTAGAACCCGGTTACAAAAGTTATATTTTTACTTACTTACTTTACTTTACTAAAAATTATATAGTTACCTTATTCATGTTACTACTCATGATGATGTCAACTCCCAAAAGATTTAGTTACTAAAAAAACAAAATTGATAAATCATGCAAATGAGACAAAGATATATTCATGCAGCATATAAATAAGTAGAAGATAATATATGCAGTTCATACATATTATTTCATATTTAATGTATGCGTACAGAATTAATAAGAATATACAAATTGATAAGTAAAAAATGAGAATCTGGGTAGAGACTACAATAGTGACGGCTAATGAAAATTAAAGTACCTACATACATTTTTTTCAAAACGAAGGGTACCCATATTCATCTCCCAACCTTTTTTCGAGGAATAATTTTTAGGTCCACATAGAACTTTTGTGGCAAAAAAATTTCGAACGAAATTTGCAAACAAAAATAGAAATAGGTGTAGCCTCCGCTGGAATATCGAAAAGGGTTGAGAAATGTATTTGAAAATTGCAAACTATTTTTTTCGTTATTTATTTCGTAAATTTTGTTCGAAACACTTTTGGCCACGAAGGTCCTATATGTGGGAATACAAATCAATCTGCAAAGAATGTACTAATGGTATAATGAGACCTATGCTTCATCTAAAGATATCTTGAAAATATGACTAATTTTCACCAGCTCTCACTAGATTAGAGATAAAACCACAGTAAAAAGAATACTTTAAGTGCTAATCTTCCCGTAATTTATTATAAATAATAAGACGAATGACCAAATCAAATTAACAATGAGTTAATTCAATAATATTATAACTAACTTACCTTTTTATTTATCCCAATGAGAAACACACAAATGCAAATACAAAATGCCCAAAATGGCGTTCGTTCTGTAATCTGTACCTATCATACAACATATGTACACCACAAATTACTGAACTATTAATGTACACATAATATAATGTGGTGTGCCGTAACGTGTGTCGCATGGCTATCTGACTTTATCCGAATCTGGCGAGGCGATCACATGATGCGCCGGGCGCCGGTAGCGCTGTACGGATCGTGGATGCGCCGTTGAACCTGCGCCGAACACAAGATCACTTGGTGGACTAGAAAAAGCCTCATCCACATTTGTAAAAATACATTTATGTGGCATTTGGCGCAAATTTGCGTGTGTGTGTTAACAATTTTATGAGAGTTTGGACGTGTTCGCCTCATTAAACGCTTGCGATCCGTGACTTGTCGTTTTTTTAAAGACATCAAAGAGATTTGCGCTACAAAATAGTGTGGACGTATTTCCATGAACACAAAATTATTTGCAAAGAAATTACAGCAAAACATAGGTTATTGGATGAAATATCTGGTATCAAACTAAAAGTTTGATGTGGAGTTTATCTTGCAAATATTTATGACCAATCCTACGTTGAAAACACAACGCATTTATTTACTAATGTGGATGCAACTTTATATTATTTCGTGCTAAGCAAAGGGAATGTAATCAAATAAGTAAAGAGCCAAATAGAATTAAGCATTTCAAAAATACCGGGTTTCGATTGGCTCATGACATGACTAATCGCATTCTGTTTTTACAAAGTTTGAAATTTTAACAGACGTGGCGTCTAAATCACGGCGTTCCCAGTAGGTACAATTTCTCATTCTAATAATATAACACAATTTAATAACATATGCAACCCCAAGGACCCTCTGATGCAACCGAACATACATATAAAATAATAATAATAATGCTTCTAGCTATTATTTAGATGTGGTCAAAATAATAAAATGTTACTAATGATATAAATTATCAATACATAATTTTTAATTGAATTTTGCATTTTATCTGGGATCATAATCGCTATAGGTTTTATTCCAAAATAATGATACTTTATACAATTTTTTAATTACGAAATCCTAACAATACCTAGGTATTTTATGATAAAAAATCATATGAAATGGACCTATGTGTCAATACCTATACATAATCGAGCCAGTCGCGCCCAAAAGCAATGTTAGTTTATGATGTTGAGACTATTATTATACTTCATTACTAATGCAATAATTCACTGTAAATTATTTACGAAATTGTGACAACTATAGGATGATAATATTGTAAAAACATTCGTGCTTAAAACTTATATCAACAATGAAAGTATTAACATTGTTGCAATTTGAGCAAATAATGATGTATCAACTGGACAATTATAATTTTGCAGAAACGTTTTAGAATTAAATATGTTCTCAACATTATTAAATAATATTCTATTACAAAACATTGTCAAAAGCATCTCACAACTTTCATTTATTTATGTATCATAATTCAGGTGAATGCAACATTGCACAGATATACTGTAATGTTTCATGCTTAGTGGGATCGCTTCATGCCAGTTTGTTCCTCTTTTCTTTAAGTCTTCTGCCACTACTTGGTCACAGAAGATATCTTCTGGTGGAGAGGAACAAACGGACCGATCAGATGACCAGTTAGGTTACCTGATTTGAGTTCGTTGGACTTTTTCCTTTGGGATTTTCTAAGACATTATATTTAAAATTCATTTTAATAATATTTCAAATATACATTTAATGAATGCTACTCGAAGCGTTGCCAGAAGATGCGCGAAATGTGTGACAGTTGAGGGACGGCAATTCGAATATTTAGCTACCAGTTTTGAAAGGTTTTATTGATGTAGGTCCTTACTACTGTTTAATTTACGTTTAATATTGTAACTTGAGTTTAAGTGAAATAAAAATTTGAAAACTGTCTTTTCTTATCTGTAATATATATTTTAAATAAACGTCATATTTTTACAGTAGATATGAGTTTTCTAAAAGTAAGAATTACAGTTTTGTATGTATTTTCGGATTTATATATAAAACACCCGGTATCTATTGTGTTTGTAAAAATAATTATAGCATTTGATATATTGCTGAAAAGCAAAAAATAATCTCCATTTTCAGGTCATGACCAGCTACGATTTTCATTTAAAGAAATATAACTTTGGGTCATAACTCCGGAATCTTAAGACCTACTAATAATCTAATACCGGCATTCAATTCTACGCCAAAGAAATAGTCTTGAGCAGTTTTCACTTTAACTCTACCTTATTTAATAGCTGAGATACAGACATATGTTCAAAAGTGTCACAATAACGAGAAACGCCCTGTAATTCAGAAACAAATGAAGATAGCAAATTTCCGATTTGAAATTCGAGTTTGCCATGAAAATCGAGCTCGAGAACGTGATGTCAGATTTATCATATCTTTAATAGTTTCTGAGATACCTTGAAATCCCACCGAAAATGAACCAGCCTGTACAGAATGTAAAATTTTTGGACTCTGAATTACCGACCAAAGGATCTCAAAACTTCCAAATGCTTTTGACCTGGGCCCCGAGCATAAAAAAGAATATTTTCCACACTATTTCAATACGGAAGCAAATCAATACTACGTCGGATCCTTCCCCCTTTGAAATATTATAATCGTGACATAATGAAAATAGAATATCGTAAAAAATTCCTACAGTGGTATGAAGAACATAAAAATGACGAGTATATAAAAAACATCGTAGAATATTGTTCATCTGACGTGTATCCGTAGTATTTTTGCCTCCTGATCATGAATCCCGTATCAGAATTGAGCTATCACATCACAGGAATTTCCTAACCTCAAAACAGGTCAAAAATAGCAAAAATTCACGAAAAAGTGCTAGGAAAAATACAAAAAAAATGTTTCTGTATTCAAATGTCCATTTATCAGAATTGATGGTCATTTTTCTAACCTTTGAAAAACGGGTCAATTAAGGTCAGATATCACGAATTTTCAAAAAATAACCCATTCGCGCTAAATTTGGTATACGGGAGTTTTCGGGATCGCTGATCACGAATCCGAGGTGAATTTTGCAAAATTCAAGATGACGGATTCAAGATGGCCGAACAAAGTTTCAAAAAATAACATTCGCATCAAATTTGGTAAACGGGGGTTTTCGGGGTCGCTGATCACGAATCCGAGGTCAATTTTGTAAAATTCAAGATGGCGGATCCAAGATAGCAGACCAAATTTTCAAAAAGTAACACATTCGCGTCAAATTTGGAATACGGGGGTTTTCGGGGTCGCTGATTACGAATTCGAGGTCAGAATTGCGAAATCATAATTATAATATTTACCCAGTATGAGTACCCAGTCATGTTTTAACCTTCTTAAAGTACATAGGTAATTGCAATTTTGAATTTTGCAAAATTGACCTCGGATCCGTGATCAGCGACCCCGAAAACCATCGTATACCAAATTTGGCGCGAATCTATATTTTTTGAAAATTCGTAATATCGGACCTTAATTGACCCGTTTTTTTAAGGTTAGAAAAAGAACCATCAATTCTGACCGTGGATTCACGTTCGTCGGGGTCTTCACCATATAAATGAACTTTTGAATACAGAAAAAAAGAAAATTTTTGTACTTTTCCTAGCACTTTTTCGTTAATTTTTGCTATTTTTGACCTGTTTTTTGAGGTTAGGAAATTCCTGTGATGTGATAGCTCAATTCTGACCCGGATTCGTCATCTGGAGGCAAAAATACTACGGATAACATATGTCACATGAAAAGTATAGACAACTTTTTTGCGTGTGCCTGTATAATTGATGGTAACTACTAATGTCTGCCCCTTCACCATTGTCTGTAACAAGGTATTTAACACAAATTTCGTCAAACCGAACACTATAGACATTATACCAAACAACAGGTGGAGAGATAATCAAAGTAAAATCGCCATTCACTGGCTTGTATGGGAAGAAAAACGGAGGAACATGAACATTCAACATGCTGCTAAACAACAAGAAGCGAAAATACATGGTGTTAAAGTGGATGGTTTCTGTTCTGAAATAAAACAGGTATTTGAATTCCACGGCTGTTATTACCATGGATGCCTTAACTGCTTCAAATATAACAGAGGTGAACCACTACAAGATAATCCCACTGAAGCGATACGATAGTCAAGTTATCGAAATATGGGAATGCCATTTTAGAAGAACTGAGAGCCTATGACACCCGTTAGTTATACTTACCCCTCTCAACCCTCGCGATGCTTTTTACGGGCAACACCAGGACGTACTACAAATGTCAACAGAGTAAAAAAATTAAATATGTGGACGTCTGCTTTTTTTACTTATGTTTGCAAATATTTTAAATTTCCCATTGGCCATCATGAAGTCTACGTTGGTGAGAACTTTGATCAACTAGGTTTAAAAACAACTGATGGATTAATCAAATGTAAAATATTACCACCGAGAGATGTTTGTTCTTGTTCTTTATCGTTCATGTGGTGAGAAACTGAATCAAGAAGAATGCACTTACGCATAATATTGAAGAAAGATCGTTAACGAGTGCATGGACGAGGTACAAAAAGCCACAGAAAAAAGTTACGAAATATTAGAAGTACCTATGTGTGGAAGTATGACATTCAGCAATATGACAAAACTGCAAATATTTCGGGTCTGTTTACAGATACTATAAATAAATTTATCAAAAGTAAACATGCGTCTGGTTGGCCCTCAAAGTGTGTTACTCCAAAGCAAACAGACCAAAACATTGAAGTCTTCTTGAATAATATGGATGTACGACTGGAGTTTGCTGAAGTTGTGAATAATCTACTTCTGCGTTCTTTAGCAATGATCATGTTGAATAGTTTCTAGGGAAAATTTGGGCAAAGGGAAAACAAGTATAATACTAAAATTGTCCGAGATCCTAGCGAACTCTTTGGCATGTTTGCAAAACGCTAAATTTATATTAACACACTGCTCCCTATAAATTAAGAAGCACTTGTCAATTATGAACACAGGGAGGAAACATATCAGCATTTATCAACTGTAAATATAGTGATAGCAGTAAGTCAGATTACGGGCACTTCGAACAATTGGATGATATGATAGTGTCTAAGCCTGGAGAGTTTGATGTACCCACAGGTAAATTCGTTGGGGATATGACCGACGAATTAGAATCCTATGGTTCCGGCAGCTACATTACAGAGCTCGTGTCTGGTGGACCTAAAAATTACGCTTATAAAGTGTTTTATACTCGTGATCCTGAAGAAAAGGTGGTCTGCAAAGTAAAAGGTATTTGCGGCATCTCACCTAATAAATTTTAAAAGGATAAAAGAGAAATTACTATTTCCAATAAGTAAAAACTTCCCTTTGTTTTTATTATCAATTAAATCAAATTTTTGATGGCACTTCAATCAAATTTGTATCGTTTGTGTATAAATATGAAACTACTACAATAATAAATTAAACGGGAGTCACTGAGTTCACAAAAAAATTAGTGAAAAGGTCTCTAGCTTTATTAACACAAAATAAGAACGCAAGTTGTAAGTTCACCAGGTAAAAGAATATGAGCATATTTGCTTAGCAGTATTAACATTTAATTTAAACCGGAAAATTTGTACAAAATTTTTGCCATCAGCAACATAACGGCGTTAAGACACATATTTTAGGCACCTATATGCATCTGTGTTATACCGGTTAATTTACGATTCAATAGTCTGTATATTCCATGATCTCAGTTTTTAAAACAAAAAATATTTTCATTCCAATTATTATCATATTTTGTTTTAGGTACAAAATGGTGTGGAACTGGTGATATTGCAAAAGATTATTTTGATTTAGGCACAGAGCCTTTGGTCGACGCTTGCTGCAGGTCTCATGATTTATGTCCAATAAAAGTTAGGGCACATTCCAAAAGATATAATTTAACAAATAATTCTTTATACACAAAATCACATTGTAAATGTGATGATAATTTATATAACTGTTTAAAACACAGCCAATCTCAAACTGCAAGTATTATGGGAAACATTTACTTTAACTTAATTCAAGTCCCTTGTGTAGATGATACAAAAACTGGTAAAAGATTTAGAAATGCAAAAAATAATTTCTAAAATAATTTAATTGTAATAATTTTAAATATTGGGTTTGTTCATAAATAAATATTTAAACTTTATCGCATTCTATTGAATTCTTCTCTCGTTTCTCGGAAACGTGAGATACATTTCCTTCACTTTGTTTTTCTTTATAATGCTATTTAATTTCCGAGCATTTTTTGTGTCTAGTTGGTAATACAAATTTAGCGTAAGAATCTTTTTCTTGCCTATAACTTTGCTTAATTTTATTTTCTAAATCATCTCTAATTAGTCTAACACGAAATATAAATGGAGATAATTATTTAGTTATTTAATATTGTAATTTTATTTCTTGTTTTACTATGTACTACTTAATTAATGTGAATATTTTCAACAAATGTTAAAATATTAGGAGCACATATGTAGGTTCCTACACTAATCTTTCTCTAGCGGCTAAATAAAAAAAGTTTTCTAGAAAAGTAAAGCAAACAGGAAAAACTTATTTAACTTGAATAGATTTTAAATGAATGGCTAATTAAAAAAAGACAAGAGATGAAAATAGAGCCTGCTCGTGAAAAGAGATATCACTATATGTTGCAGATTCCTCAGAGAATATGGAAGCTGCCGTATCCGCTAGTACGGTGAATCGCGGTGGTATCCTCTCCTACAACCCCCCCCCCTCACCTACTGCGTCTTATTCACCATGACTTGCCTTACAGGACCACGAAATCGCCATAGAGTATGAACCCAATCGGCCGATTCCATGCTATTTAGGAAATGAGTTAATATGAACAAAAATAAAATATGTTTAATACATGTGCAGAACATACTTGTAATTAGTGCCTTATTGGTGGCAAATTCAAATTTCTAGATTTAAACGCTTGCGCAATAGAGATCGGAGTGAAGGAGACAGAGAGAGGAGAGAATTTTATTTAAATTAAAAAGTCTTGATCTGTCTGAGATTCGAACCCCGAATCTTTGGATTTCAAAGCGAGCCCGTTACCTCTAGACCACCATAGTATCATTTCACAACAGGAATACTGTGGTTGATATATTGATGATAAAAATATTTCAGCTATTATTGTGAAATTTCATAATCTTAAGATGAGAAATTCAAACATAGCTCCGTTTAGGTCTCTTAAACGAAAAAACGCATGCGCATTAGCACATTATATTTCGCTAACGGTTTGAAATAAATAGCTGTGTCACTAAAATTGGGTTAAGATATTTACGAAACATCAATTTTTTTACAAAAGTTTAAATATCAAAAACGGTTAACTTTAAGAATAGGAAACCTTTATGAAAGTTCACCTAAAAATTGACGTAGAATCCAAAATTGCAATAATAAACAGGCTGTTTCACTTAAAATAACGAAGATGACGTCAACTTCCGGTATAACCGGAAGCGTTAGGTGGATGCCATTATTTTAGTTGAGAAGGGCATGCCCGAAAACACTATTGCCCAAATTTTCAAAATTAAAATCAAAGTAGTCTCGGAAATATGTATAATGTCTCGTCACCGTGAGACACCCTGTATAATATTTGTTTTGTATTTGGTGCGAATTTTACCGAACACACGCGCAATGTCTAGGTATCATAGATATAAACTGTTTTACGTATACAGGGTGTCCCTGTATACGTAAAAACTTATTTTATTTTATTTTATTGCATCCAATAGAAAAACAAGAAATATAAATCGAAAACGGTTAAATTTATCGACATAAAACAAGTATCCCTTATTTATGAAAAGTAGATAAGAGAACAATATCTTTCTATTAAAACTTTCGTACACACACTGATAAAAAAGTTATAACCAGATTGTATCTACCAAGAGTACATTTCGTAGGCCCTCTAGCGTCTTCAGCAAAATTAAGTACGAATTCGTTTTTCTCGTCCCAAAAAAACCCCTAATCCAAATTTTCAAAAGAATCCTTTGAAAACTTTCTAAGAATTTTAAGAATTTCGAATTCAAAATTTGAACTTTAACGTTCTGTAACTTTTTTATTAGCCACAAATGGACCAAGGTAAGTTTGGCTTAATCGCATTATTTTGATGTAAGGAATCTACTCTTGCTCTGTGTCCCATTAATTTCGGGACACCCTGTATACAGGGTGATTCAGTCATAATGTCATTAATTTTAAGAGCAGATAGAGAAAAATGAGTATAATACGCTGGCGTGATTAAAAAAAAAATTAAATGCATATTTAAGCAGAAAAAAATATTTTCAAATCATTATTTAACCCCCTTTTCAGGCTGTTACTGACCGGCTGACGTCAGTCGGTTATTCAGAATTTGAGCACGGCTACGATATGAACAACGCGCCCTAGATGCAACGTTGCCATATTTATATACATTTTCGCTCATATAAAGACAATAAATAAACGGTTTGCTCACGTCAGCAAATAATTTAAAATGCTATAAATTATTTTTTATAATTATGCAATCAACACATCAAATTGTTATTGTTGCCCAGCAAGAACCTCGAGGAGGTATGAGCATGCCTTGCCAAAAATCAGTTTTTATTAACATCATAATGTTAATTTTTTGCTGTAAGCAAATGTTCAAATACATTACCGTTACCGTCTATGCACAAGTGTACACGTTAGATAGATGAGCGGCGGATGCGATGGAATAAACCAGGGTTGTTAAGTATTTCTTCAGCGGCATCTTCGATACGATTTCGCAACTGCTCTACATTCTCTACCTCGGTGTGATACACGACAGATTTCATATAACCCCATATACAAAAGTCCATAGGATTATGGGCCCTCATCTCCATATCTACCGATTGGGACATTGATCGTCTAAAAATACGCGGACATCGCGAGCAAAATGGGCCGGATCTCCGTCGTGCATATTCCACATATCCCGTAGCATCTGAAGGGAAAGGTTTTCAAACAATTCTACTAAAAATTGAAAGTAACGCGGCCCATTCAGATGTTCAGGTAGAAAATGCGGCCCAATTAAACGATCGCCATATACTCCTGCCCATACATTGACAGCGAATCTCCTCTGAAAGCTAAACCGACGAGTAGTGTGCGGGTTTTCATCTGACCAAATGTGACTATTATGGCTGCAAAAAAATTAGCTCTGTTTCACTTTAAATAAAATTTAATATTGAAGTTACAAAACTCCAAGAGTTCAAGTAATTTAAATTTCATTTCACAACCATTTCAATTTCATTACAAAAATAATGACATAAAAACCAACACTCACTAGATAAATTATAAAGAGAGGGTGAAATGTATGTAGTATTTAAATACTGACTGCAAGTAACAGAAGATAAAAAAACAATCGGACGGAGACAAGTAAACAACTCGGTACGTGTTTTCGACATAGGTTAACCTGTATCTAGGTCAATGACCCACTTTTTAATTTGTACGTGTACAAATAGTCCAGGAGCCAGATAGGGTGCCGTGGCCAACAGAGTACCACGGCTGCAAACAATGTAATGAATACGGATAATTGTTTTCCAATGTACGGTTATTACAATTTATCGTTTTTAATATTATTAACGTTTTAACGTTTTATAATTTATTATGTTAAATAATACACAGTTTTAGTATTTCAGTTTATTATTCAATATGCAGTTGCGTATAACCAAAGTTTACATAATAAATGTAAACTTTAGTGTAAATCTAAACTTTGGTGTAACCTAGGTATTGTTTTTGAGAAGGCAATACTTATGTTTTTTACCTGCTTAAAATGCCAGCACGAGTAAAATAACATTCATCCGCCCAGAGCACTTTGTTAATAAAGTTCTGCTGCACTTCGATTCAGGAACCAATTGCAAAATTCAAGACGATTGGGGAAATCAGCTGCTTCTAAAGCTTGAACTTTTTGAAAATGTGTTACGTTAACTCCTTTGCGGGAGATATGAGGGTGGTAGATTTGAATAAACGCTTTAAATTGTTAATGGTTTTGTAACCGTGTGTAGTGTATTTATATATTTGGGTATTTAGTAGTGTGCCGACTTTTTTATTTGATAAAATACGGTGTGCCTATAAACAGGCCTCTGCTTTATATATTTTCTTTTAACGAAAGATGACTTCGAGAAGTCAGGCTTGTTAAAACATTCTGCACTAAGTTAATACAATTGTTAAAATTATTTATAATAAAATACAGCATGTTCCTTTATTTACTTGAATACGTTTAACAGTAAATGTGAACCACACATTATGATGTGAACTTGTCAACGCTGTTCGCTTCAGCCGACAATTGTTCGTGACATTACGTTACAAAATTTTCCGAGCATCCGGGCATCTGCCAGGGCCGCCCTCGTAGCGGGAGTTATGGGTTGATTTCCTTTATTTTTAAAAGTCGAGTAAAATTTTTTTTTTCCGATTTTCTGTCTTTATTAAGCCTTCCGAATACGTGGTTAAAATTCGGAAGTCTTAATAAAGACAGAAAATCGGAAAAAAAAATTTTTACTCGACTTTTAAAAATGAAGGAAATCAACCCATAACTCCCGCTAAGAGGGCGGCCCTGCCAGATGCCCGGATGCTCGGAAAATTTTGTAACGTAATGTCACGAACAAATCGTCAGCTGGGGCGAACAGCGTTGCCAAGTTCACATCATAATCTGCGGTTCATATTTAATTAATCCGCTTTAGTATACGGATACATATGAACGAAACCAATAAAATGCAAGTAAATAAAGGATCATGCTGCATTTTATTATAACTAATTTTAATAATTGTATTAACTTAGTGCAAAATGTTTTAACAAGCCTTACTTCTCGAAGTCAACTTTCGTTAAAAGAAAATAAATAAAGCAGAGGTTTGTAGGCACACTGAATTTTATCAAATAAAAAAATCGGCACACTAAATACCCGAATATACAAAACACACTACACAGGGTTACAAAACCATTACCTAACAATTTAAAGCGTTTATTCAAATCTACCACCCTCCATATCTCCCGCATTTTCCCGCAAAGGAGTTAACATAACACATTTTCAAAAAGTTCAAGCTTTAGAAGCAGCTGATTTCCCCAATCGTCTTGAATTTTGCAATTGGTTCCTAAGTGCAGCAGAACTTTA